TTTAACAGTTGCCAACCAGCATTACTGATTAAGGCTTGTTGTGATGCTTTATTGTGTTAACAATGCTTTTCTGTCTCTTTTCAGGCAACTCCACACACCCACTAACATCCTCCTGCTCTCTCTAGCTGTCTCAGACTTTCTTGTGGGCTTCGTGTCGCTGCCAGGACAAATTTACCGACGTACACAATGTTGGTTTCTTGGGGACCGTATATGTTCTCTTTGCTATTATGTGTTCTACATTGTTACTAGTACTTCAGTAGGAAACATGGTGCTTATATCAGTTGACCGATATGTGGCTATTATTCACCCACTGCATTATACCACCAGAATCACTGTGAGGAAAGCCAAATTCTGTGTTTATTTGTGTTGGTTCTGTTCTGTTTTCCACTGTAGTGTTATTTTTAAAGATGCCTTGATTCAACCAGGCATACATAATTCCTGCTATGGTGAATGTATAGTAGTTCTCAGCTACATTGCAGGAGTTGTTGACCTTCTTTTAACCTTTATTGCTCCAGTTACAGCCATTGTACTTCTATATATGAGAGTGTTTGTGGTGGCTGTGTCTCAGGCTCATGCCATGCGCTCTCACACTGCAGCTGTCACACATCAGCATTCAGTAACAGTAAGTAGAAGGAAATCTGAGTTGAAAGCAGCCAGGACTCTGGGTGTTCTAGTGCTGGTGTTTCTAATATGTTATTGCCCGTACTACTGTGTTACTCTTACAGGGAACAACCCCTCTGCTGTCAATTTCATGACCGTCATGCATTGTTTGAACTCCTGTCTAAACCCTGTGATCTATGCTCTGTTCTATCCCTGGTTCAGAAAGGCTAGTAAACACATCATCACTCTGCAGATACTGCAGCCTGGCTCCTGTGAGTTCAGCATGTCGTAGTAAAACTGCGGAGTGACTGAAACTACATCTGTTCAACAATGAAACAACAATTCATTGGTCTGGACAGAGTAAAGGCACACTCTAGACCATTAGATATAACTACATCATCATGAATTGATGATTTGTCAATTGGCATTGTGGTCATAATAAAGTGCTTGTTCAGTGTAGGTCATTACCTTCCATGGTAACAGTCCACTACAATGTGTGCATCAACTTTGCAAACACCAGTAAATCTGTCTTTTGCATTCTCTATGGTATTTACTACTACTGTGAAATGAATTAACAGAACTGTGACACTTCACTTTGGGTGAATAAGGTGAAAATAAAGACCAATGTTTACTGTGATAACATCCGTGACCTGTGACCTAAATTAAAGCATTGTTGTGGTTAGACTCTGATGTGAAGCAACATCACAGAGTGAAATCCCAGGTGAAATCAGGGAATGAACACAGAGCCCCCCAAAGAAAATACATGCTGCACTTTTACAATGGCAAGAAGGTTTTGACAACATGTTGCATCAGACAGCAGCTACATACAACAAGCTGAGCTCAGAGATATTCCATGAAGTGGACACAGATTTTTTTATTTTTTTTTCTTCTTCATTTCGAACCAAAAATGTAAAACAAAAGTCAACATTTGATGCA